TATATATATATATATAAAACAAGATTTTTCTCTACAGAAAAAACAATGTGACCAAATGAAAATGTACTCTTGAGTATATTCTGCATTTCAGACAGACTAAATCACACTCTTGATGTGTACGCTTATCTTTGAACCTTTACAAGTTCTTAAATCCTGATTGTGTGAATCTTTTTTTTTTTCTTCTGCACGTGTGTCGGCACGTTTCTCGTTCCTCAATATTTGTGCAACTTGAACAATTCATGTATCAAAATGTTAAGCTTCTTCGGGACATTCCGGTTGTGTCTTTTGTTATTTAAACAATTTATACTTTTTGAGCTATTTAACTCAACTGGCCCATTTTTGTTCTCGTTGAAAATTAACGGAGCTGCCTTCAACGTTATCAAAACCCTTCAAACTTTACACCTTTTGTGCTACTTTGCTTCTTTCAGCTTTTTTTTTGTAATATTACCTTTTTTCTGCCTTTTTACCCATCTTTCTGCTTTTTTCAGCTATTCTGCTAATTAGCCTTTTGTGCTTCTGTTAGCTTCTTTCTACTAATTTAAGCTTGCTGTGCTTCTTTCAATTGTTTTCTGCAATGTAAGCTACTTTTGAGCTATTTTCAGCTAGTTTGCACCTTTTCAACTACATTTACTTAGTTGTAATATTTTAGTGACAATTTTACACAATATTAAAAAACATTTTTATTTACAACTATCTTTTTTTTCAGCAGAATTCTTTCAGCATTAAGAATTCACGCTGCACTTTCACAGAAAACCTGAATACTTTAGTTCTTCATCATGTCACAAAATACATTTATACTTAGTAAAGAAAGGATCATTTTACATTTGTAACATGACAAAACAAACTAAGTATTTTTTTACAATTTGGTGCAATGAACACAGTTATTTATTTTGCTTATAAATGGGATCAAATTACAGTTTATTCAGATTGTATAAAAGGTTTAATAGTCAAAAAAGGAATATGCAACAAAAACAGTTCAACAGCTGTGTTAAAGATTCACTACTCATGCCTTTAAGCTATGTATGCATTACACAACTGAACCACAAGCTACACAATCTTCAAAGATCCAATTAGAGAGACTAAAGATTTTTTTTTTCATTACTGAACCTCGACTCTCTCATGTCCTGATTTGATCTGCTTACTATTAACATTCTTTTAGCTTATTAATTTTTCCATCCAGGCTGATAAAAACATCAAGGCCAGCCCACTTTTCACATCAAATGAAATTATGTGGAGGCAGAGTGGGACATCGATTGTTCCTGGACCCCCCCTCTTGGTTGTCTGTCCCAGCTGCTTACAATATCATTTACACACGAGACTCAAACGCTAAGAGTGGAAGAAGCATAAGTTGAGTGGGAATTTGTGCTCATCTTCGTACGGCATTACGCTATTTTTTAATCAGTCTGTTCAATGTCACAACACTGGAAGGAAGTGAAAATGGAAAAAGTGTCGTGTGGAGTCAGACGATAGAAACTCTTCTTTATCCTTCAGCGTGAAAACGAACAGGAAAGTGAATCACAGGATTTCATATCTAAACACATATGTAGCATTGTGCCTCGTTCACTTTGAAGCTGTTAGGTTGACGATGACCGTATCATTTCATTTTAACACCAGTCAAGTCAGTTCAATTTTCAATTTTTATACTTTTCATTTCAGTGCGCTGTATCCAAAATGTTTGGCTCTACATCACAGAACGGCAGAATGAGAAATAACATTTGCAATTTCCTTGGAATAATACGAGGATTTGGGGTTATTGGTCAAACAAAGCAGGCCTTTTGATGGTTTGAAACTATTTTAATTTTCATTATCCTTTTCTTCCCCCCCTTTTCTAGTGGCTAAAGAGACCAGCACAGATCATTTGTGGGTTCAGACCACAAGTTAAAAAAAGAAGGAAACAACTAAATAAATAATTCACAATTTAGTTGTTTTGAAAACTTATTTAGACTGCCGCACCACTACACAAGAGTTTGGAAAAGCAGAAACAAGATACTTTGTCAAGTTGGGCTGATGATGTCCTTTTTTTTTGTCCTCAGCAGATCCCTGACAGCCAAACAGAAGCCTCTCTATAACCTAACTCACTTTAATGCTTTATTTAATAAATGTACAAACGTTTGCTGTAACAAAACTAAAGCATATCTTTATAGCCGTAAAAAAGGATAGAGAGAGCAAAAAATTTTAAATCTAATAAGTCCAAAAATCAGCTATTTTGCTGACCTGATATATGTGCATTTGACATAACTTTATGCTTTTTCTTTCACTCTGAAAGTTCTGTATTAAAAAAAGGTAAAAGGAAATCTCGTACCATCCAGCAGACAGTCGAAATGAAGACACTGCAGATACTCCCTCTCTCTCATAAAGCCGTTCAGAGGGGTGGCCCAGCCTTCAGCCAGCACCTGGACCCACTGCATGTCCACCTGAGAATTACACAGAAATATCAATATTATAAACGAGTTGTTTTTAGAAAAAAAATAAAAATAAAAAGACATAAAGATGGCACTAAAAAAAATTATTCTAATCACCTTTCCGATTTGAACAGCAGGAAGAGTTTCTGCATCAGCCTTGGCCAGGTCCAGTTTATTCTCCTGAACGTACAGCTCCTTCACTTCATACGACGCATCGACAGGAACTATATCCTGCACAATTAAACACAAATACGTCAACTTATTTACTGTCAAATATGAAGTTAAAAATAATATTCTGCCTGAGGAAGGTTATGGTAAAGAGTCACAATTCACTCAAGCAATATTTTTTATGAGAAAACGTTTAAACTGGAACAAAAGTGAAATTATGGTGCTTTGCTGCCCCACAGTGGACTAGTTAGGAATTACAGAACTTTTTAAAGGTCAGAACCTCTCAGCTCTAGCTTTATTGGTAAAGATGGCGTTAAAGAGGACATGAGGAGTAAAATAAAATGACCACACATCATGTTGGTGTCTCCTACCCGCTCCTGAAGCAGGTCGATGAGCTGCTGTATGCACTCGTTCACGCTGCAGGAGTCGGTCTTCAGCACCAGCTCCGGAGCCTCCGGCTTCTCGTACTCCGAGTCGATGCCTGTGAAACCTGAGGAAACGCAAACATCGTGTCCAGTTTCAAACACTACAACTTTATTTACTCTGTATAAAACACAAACTGAACAGCTGTAGGCAGAAAGTCAGCACTGATTAGGAAACAATGTCAATAAAACTAAATATTATGACCGATAAATGCTCACTTTTCATGGAATTCTGGAAATAGTTTAAGGATTAATCGTAATAATAATACAGGTTACTGCAGAAATGAGAGAAGACTTTCTAATATCCAGTTCCTCTCGTAAATGTAGAGCAAAAATAAACACAGAGAAAACTAACGAGTCCCAAATGTGAATACATTCTGAGTAGGTTTGCTGATTTAAAATGCAGGGCTCTAGACTAACTTTTCACACTGGTTGCACCTAACTTTTTTTCTTAGGTGAACCAGCACAAAAGTTAGGTGCACTGACATTTTCAACCATGTCACATTTAACATCAGCATTTTATGGGTTAATTTAAAATAAAAATCATTGTTCATTAAGGCAATATTAACACGAAAATAATAGTTAGTTAGTTGGTTAGTTAACAATCAAGTAAACAAAGTTCTTTATTTGAACCAGAATTGTACAAGACTCACAGCTTACTGAAAAGTATTTAAAGTGATTCTATAAAAATTCAAAGTGCAAATGTTTAAGGGCTGAATATCTTATAAACATCTTAAATATTTCGTGGTTAAATTTCTTTTAGACACCTGCCCCTCAGATGGACAACTCCTGTAGTTTGGCCCTATGGATCTTTGGCCTTGGCTAAACAAGAATGAACAGAGAATAATGATTAATAACTGAAATATTACTGATACTTATCAAAAGGCTGTGCAGAATTTTTAAAAATATATAACAGAGCACATAAAAGTCTGCAATTTCATTAGCACTTGTTGAATCTTATTATCTTATCTTATTTCACTTAAATATCTAATATGTCTAGTTTTATCCTCCTGAGACCCAGAAGAACCAATGTCAGATACTTGTAACTGTGGTGAAGTTGATTAAGTGCAAAAGCGGCCTGCCATACATGTGAGCTTCCTCATGCTGCTTTTTTTTCCTTCCTCATACTGCTGAAATGATCTGCTGCGCTCACAGTTTAGCAAGATGGACTTAAGAGCGAGAAACCGTCCATATCTTCCTTTTTATCTTCACAGTTAACAAGAAAAAAAATGTTTTTCAGACTCCGATTTGGAAACAAGAAAGAAAAAAAAACACTATGGTTGTTTCGCTATGCGTGTGCGTTGCGCACGTGTGTTTTTTGCTTCATGATTGGTACAATTATTGGCCATTTCCCTGGTACACACAGTCTGGTGAGGTTAGGGTTTGGGTCAGGTGTGTAGCCTACCTGGGAGGTTATGGTTGGCTATAGAATTGACAGGGAAAYGAATGGAAGCCAATGCAAAGTCCCCATGAGGATAGAACAACAAACGTGTGTGTGCGTGCGCGCACGGGATGTGTGGAGCGGAGCCCGCGAGCAGAGCGCAGTGTTATTAAGGAGACATGGAGACTGTATCAGTGGGCGACCGCTCCCCCTCCCCCCTCGAACGACTGAAAGGTCGCACCAGTGCGACCGGACATTTTTTTTTAGTGGCACTATGAGGAAATCAGGTCGCATTTGCGACCAAATTGGTTGCGCTCTAGAGCCCTGAAATGTATTTTTGTTTCTCTCTTTAAGAGCAGATATGCACAAATGGAGAAGGAAATAACTTTTGAGAAGCTATGACAAAGCAAATACTTATCCACGCTTGATTTCATGAACAATTATCTGCACTTTTAGATAAAACAAAAATGGTGCTCGCTAAAAAAAGAAAGCCTTTTATGATTTTCTGTTCCAACTTCTACACTTTTCCACTGCACTAACTGCAGGGAGCACCACCTACTGACAATGTTCCGCTGCAGGGTTGGGATCTGGAGAAATTTTGAGAAAAAAATGACCTAACTTGCAATCTTGTCTTAGTCTTTTGGTCACCAAGGTTATTAGGATTTATATTCTAGGGGGTAAAAGTTCAACATTAGAGGTTTCTTTGTCAACGTAAGGATTAAACTAAACAACACAACTTCTCAAGATCAAAAGCGCAAACTTTTTCTTTTTCCATTAGCTGTTGTCTCAGAACCTGTTAAACCTGTATAACTGCTTTATTATTGCTTTTACACAGTGACCGTAATATTAACAAAGAGGAAAGTCCTTGAAAATGTGCTAAGATAAAAAGCTCTACTCTATAAATGGCTTAGGGGACCAGGACCGATCCGTTAGCAAAGCAGAAGCTGATCCAGCATCAGGTTCATCCAGATGTGGTGTTCCAGACAAATGTGCACAGTGAAAAATGCAGAGAAACATGCAACAGACATAAATTTTGTTAATTTAATGTGAAAATCTGACCTTGTTTGGTGAACAATGTGTGTAAAAACTGCTCTTAAAAACAAGTGCATTTGTGTGTGTGGGGTCAAACAGTGGAATCTAGACTAAGGTTGAAAATGTGCAACAATTTTTTAAAATGTAAATGCAGCTATAAACATCTATTGATAAATAAGTATATGTCAAAATTACTTTAACCATTATTATTATTATTATTATTATTATTATTATTATATTACAGGCAGTGTAATGTGAAAATTTTAGTATAATATATGTGTATGTGTGCGCAAGTTTATACATATATAAATGTAAAGTATAATTATGAGGATATTTGTTAAATAAGATGTTATTTTAGGTATTCAAAGCTGTAAGTGTTCATATCCTCACTTTGAATGGGAGCATGTTTGATTAAGTTATCAGAAGGGAGAGGACTCGATAAGCTAGTTGCTTCAGCCTGCTCCTTCTCAAACAGTTTTATGGGTTTTTTTTTTTGTCTTTTTGTTTTTTTGTTATGTTTGAGATAGATAAAGAAACAAGAATACAGAATCTAGACCTTCTATTTTCTCAAGTGTTGCACTTAAACAGAGATGCATTGTACCTGAATAGTAACGAGTCCTACGTAAACAGTTATAAATCATATTAACGGTAATAAATGATGCTCCACCTCTTATCTCCCCTGCTCTGGCTCTCTTGTACAGCCCCTTCACATCCCTCTGCTCACACACGTCCAGCGGGGCATCCACAAAAACCTCGAAGAACGGCAATCCAGCTGCCTCGTGAATCTTCCGGGCATTCAGGCGATCCTGTCAAATCATTAAAAAAAAAAAACATAAATACATTGTTTATGGTAACTTCCGTTTACAGTGACGCATTTCTTCACTCACCCTGCTGTAGGGCGAAATAAAGCTGGCAATGCAGACCAGCCCTGCATCAGCAAAAAGCCGGGCCACCTCAGCGATGCGCCTGATGTTCTCTTCGCGGTCCTCGGGGCTGAAACCCAGGTTTTTGTTCAGCCCCTGACGGATATTGTCCCCGTCCAGCGTGTAGCAGGGGATGCCGTGGCACACAAGGTACTCCTCCAGGGCCATGCTCACTGTGGTCTTTCCCGCACCGGATAAACCTTAGGAAAAAAGAAAATTAATTACAGACCTAGCAATGAAATAATGCATGTCATCCACCGTGTTTAATGACAGTTTTAGACTGATCTTACAAAGAAAAATAGATATATTGACAGCCTGATATATTTTGCAGCAACATTTTGAATCTAACCAGTAAGCCAGACGGTGCATCCCCTGAATCCTCCTCTTGTGCCCACCACCTGCCCCCGCTTGTTTCGGCTCACGTGATGAGCCTGGTAGGTCACATTAGTTGCTCGTTGCATTCCCTGAAATGGAAGTAAATTTGGGGGGTCAAACAAACTTTAAATGAACTAAAATGGTTTAATATGTATGGTAAACTCAAAAACGTCTGAGATCAAAGCCAGAATTTAGGAAAAGATTATATATATTTGCACTGTGACCCTTTTCTGTAAATGTAAGATTCAAAGAGGTGAATGTATTTCGCCTGAATCAAATGATTTAAAGCTCTGTTAGCTTATACGTGCTGTTAGCAACGAGGGTTTTTAATGAAGCTAAGCGCTTAGCCACCAGTCTCGTTTGCTCATTCATTTATTTATTTTTGGGTGGAGATTTGTTGACATAACAGACGACGTGTCAACAATGTCAAGTTTGATCAATGAAACTCACCCAGCTCTCGGTAGCATTGCTCAGCTTCTGTTTCTTGTTCGAGTTTCCGTGCGTCTCCATCATGATTGACTGGCTGCAGCTGACGACTAATAAATCACACAGCTACGTCTTTAAAATACATACATACGAGAAGGAAACCCAAACGGAGTGGCTTGTTGTTTATTTGTGCAGGTAAATGTTTAACACGGGGACAGGTTTGCCCATTGAACGGAGAAGCCCGAGCAGCTTCGCACTAACCTGGAAGAGTGGCTACACACTATTTGTAATCCGGCTTAAAAAGTTGCTAGGGTGGGTGGAGTTTACGCTCCATTTAAAGCAGCTAAATCGACTCGTGACTAGTTTAACCACGTGACTGAAGCAACCATAACACAGTTACGTTGACGCCAGCGTCCAAACATAATTAATAAGGTCAAAAAATATTGCGCTCTTTGTATAAACATAAGCTCTTCCCGTCCTCTCCCGTCATTGCTGATTCTACCCGGATAATAGTCCGGGTGAATAAAAAGGAACGCGCCCACTTCTTCGGCAGCCACATCACCGGTGAAGAAGTGACGCATTTCCGCTGTAGTTTCCGGAGGAGGAGGAAAACTGATCTGATGTCAGTTTTATGTCATCGTCGCCTCGCCTGATCCAGTACTACCTGATTTTTTAAAATATAATTATTAGACTAAAGGAAAATTCCAGTCACACACACAAGCACATACACTATAAAACATTATTACTTGTGCAACATTTTTAAAATGTTATTATTGACATTGCTGAATCTCAATGAAATCCATAAATGCATAACTATTCTGATTACATATTTAATCCTCTGCTTTTTCCATCTGTAAAATTATATTAAAAAACCATATATTTTTTGTTTGTTTTTATAATTTTTTTTAATAATAAATCCTAGCCGTGAACGCTCCAGACCAGCTCTGCTAAATGAGTGCATTACAAAAAAAGATGACAGCACTGATTACAGGAGGAGAGTTGCTGTGGATGGAAAAGGATGCGAGGCGGGAGGCTGGGTGGTTCTCAGGACATGTGGGGCGATCAGGGAGGAGCGCTTCATAAAAAGCCAGCAGCCCTGCCGTGTAATGCAACAGTCCAGCCTGTGAGGAGCACAGAGCAGACAGCAGCAGCAGCAGCAGGGAGGCAGACATTTGCAACTCCAGGAAGAGCAGCCCGGAGGCCCCTTCAAGGCAGGTAGGATGCTACAAGCTGTGCAACAGAAACAGATTAACCATACTTTTGGCTTTCTGTGTGGAACTGAAATGATGACATTAAACTTTTTCTATAGGAGCTGTGCCTGCTTTAATTTACAATTTCTGTTAATAGATCTGTGAGAAACTAGAGGGCTTAATTACAGGATGACCTGTTGCCCCACCCAACCTCAATTGGTAGCTGGTGTTTGACGCTGTGTGTGTGGCGGGGGGGGGGGGGGGGCACTGGGCTTACACCCCAAAAGTAAACTTCAAAAGTGGCTGCAGGGCCCACATTACATGTGACAAACTGCTACCCTGTAATACAGGGGAGGCTGAGGAGACACCCAGCCCTGAGGATCCAGCCCACATCTGGTTGCACAGTAGAACCCACAAGATTAGAGGTTAGTCCTCTCACACTGGGACTATTTCTGTTTGCGCTGTTTAAAATTATGGGTGACTTTTTTAGGTTTAATATTAACATCCCTTCAACAAAGAATGCAAGATTTGCTGAGCAGCTTCAGCTGTCATTCTTCATATCTTTACTTTTTACACTTTAGTTGACAAACATACATTTTAAACACATAATATGTTGAAAAGTCACAGCCTTTGCAATCCATAAGTGCAATGCCCAAGACAGTGGGACGTAGAAGTGCAGAGGATGGCGCAGGCTACCCTGATAGATGGATGTCCAAATGCATAGGTGATGAATCAATGACAAAAATTAATAAAACTTGACTTCATCAGTGTTACATTAAACTCCAATATATTTTGTTAGTGTCAAGTTTTGTAAAGCACATTTAACTAGCATTTAGCTACTTTAAGTTTTTAGTTAATTCTCTCCTTTTAGCTTTAACAACTCTATTCAGGAAATCTAAACAGTCATCCAAGATTTAGCATCATCACATTTTTGAAGACTATTTCTCTAGTTATGGCACCTCATATTTTTACACGGTCCTAAGCAAACATGATCAAAACAAATGTCTGTATCTCAGCTCGACCCATGCAGCAATAAAAAAGTTCTAACTGTTGATCACCTTGTAAATCTAAGGGTTTTTATCTCAGTCTGCTGTTTAGAACAGCTTCAAGTTGTTGTTTTTTTTTTTTTCTCTTTTTGTGAATTGCTCACTTCAGGTCTCTCCACGACACTTCTGCTGAAATAACTTCAGGACTTGGACCGTATTTTGAACAGGTTGCTTCTGAGTTCATGTTTTGTTTATGACTTTCTGAATTAATGAAAGCCCTGTTGCCTTCAGTGTAAGCATTCTGAATTACTGACTAGCTGAGTTTGCTTTGACAGTTTGTAGAAAGACAATAGTATTTATATTTTATAAGACAGTTATGTCTGTTTAATGTGGCCTTTGGAGGACTGGTGGTCATTAACAGTCAGTGTAAAAGCTGCCTTCAGTTGCTAAGAAGTGATCGTTGCATTGAAGGCTTTTATACGTCTCGCACTTTGAAGCGATCTTGAGTCAGCCTTTTAATGGTAACAGGGGTCTTAAGTGTTTTTTAATGGTTTCCTTCATTTGTATTCAACATGTCTGACTGTGGATTTTTTGAGTCCAGTCATGTTGTGAGCTTATCCTCTTGTTTGACTGTGATTTAACCTTCACACAGATGCTGCTCCAAGAAATATACAAGTCCTTCAAAACTCAAAGCTGCACAGTACTGAGGAATTTTCACCCACCGTAATGTGAAATAGTCAATGTGCTATGTGTCTGTCTGTTAGCAAAATATTTCATGAACCAGATCAAGGATTTGAATGAAACTCTCTGAAAGTAATCACTGAATACACAACTACAGCTGATAAACTTTTGAAGTCGACTTGTTTCAAGATGTCTGCCAAAGTTAATTTTTACCCTGCATAAAATCAACTATAGTTCGATTAACTCTGCAAATATTGAGCTCAAATGTGGTATAATTTAAGCTAAAAAAACTAGCACACTAAATTATAATAATCAGTTTATTATTTTACTAAAACACAGTACAGGGATGGGCAACTGCTGGCCCGCGGACCATATTGTACAACTGTTATATGTGCATTTGTGCATGAAATATGTGAAATTACTGCATTACATACTGGTTTAATAAACATATTATTATTATTATTATTATTATTATTATTATTATTATTATTATTATTATTATTATTATTATTATTATTATTATTATTATTATTATTACATTTGGGTAAGTGTGCAGCATATGTGCCCCCCTGGTAGTTTTAACAAAAAAAGTGTCCCTTTCCGGCATTTAAGTTGCCCGTTCCTGACATGGTAAAATTAATGCTTTTATATTCATTTGACCAATGAAATTTAAAGATATATTTTCTAATACATGATTTTTTTAATGTAGTTTCCTGTACTTGTAAAATAATGTTTTACCATCATTTTTACTTCAGCAAAGCAATGAAAGTTTGCTCCTCTACTCAGCCCATCCTTGAGTTTCAGAGGGTTTATTCAGGGCAGAGCCATCTCTATTGGACTTTATTTTCATCCCTCGCTTTGATGAAGACGGTCTACATGACAAAGACGAAAATGAGTGGCCATCAAATGCAGCGTGTTATTATAAAGACCCCAGAATAGAAAAAAACCTTGGTTCTCCCAGAGTAAAATACAGCCCTGCAAGCAACTGGTGGACTTTTCCTGAAATAGCCTGGCAGAGTGGAGGCAGCCATGTTCTCTATTACAACAGCCTGTTGCTCTGTGGAAGTTTTTTTTTCTACCAGTTTTCCAACACCACCCATCCTTTTTAAATGTTTGGTGCTTTGATGGGAAAATACTGCTCACTTATTACTGGAAAATAAGTCTGAATTTTTTCATGAAACATGAGCTGAGTTTATTCAAAACTGCATGTGGAAACCTACCTTGTAGAAGATTCCTGGTTTAAACAGATGCATTATTCAGAAAGCAGTGACAAGTATGATGTGATCGCTGAACATTACATCTGACATAAAGGAGCAAAACATGCATCAATGGTTGAAACAAAAATACTGTTTGCAGGACTCAGCACTATAATTAGCCTTATAGTAATGTTTGTTTTCTCTTGTCAATCAAATTAAGTTAACATTATCATATTTTATGAACCATTAAAACCTGTCAGATGTCGCTTTCTGCGTGTATCCATCAGCTGAGGGTTAGTCAGGCCGTGCTGCTATTATCCTTTTTGCACAAAACTGATTATAAGGAAACTGATACATTCAGCAGCTCTCTTGTGCCCACACATTTTCTTTTAGCTTTTTCTTTTTTCCTGTTGCTGTTTTTGTTCTCCTTAACATTCTATGTAAATCCCAGAGGAAATCTATTTTGATGCATTTCAGCACTGCTAGTAACGTCCCATCCATTAACAGGGCTTTTAAAGGCACCAAAGTTCTTTCAGCTTAAACCTTTATCACAGCAGTGTACTCTTGTGTCATTAGCTGACAATAGCATAACATTCATAACTTTGTTCGTTTTCTGGGTGCCATTAGAACTTCCTCTAAATAGGTTTTATAGCATACAGCCCAAATAGTATTGTAAATATATTTATGTTTACAGATCAAACTGGATCTGGGTTCTGCAGAAAGGTTATGAAGAATTAAAATCTTATTTATTTGATATGTTTTTTCTGATCAGATTGATGAGTTATAGACTAGTCAGAGTGGAACCAAGACCAAAGTGGACTGCTGCTGTAATAATAATAAAAAAATCCAGTCTCAAAAAGTTCATAGCGGTTATATTGTTTTCATCAGTAGTCTCTTTTAAATGCAGTCTTATCAGCATGGAGTCAAATTTGGACCAAGCCACTTGTGTAGTTTGACAGTTTGACCCAACATAATGCATTACTTTTTCCTTTCAAAAATTAAGTTAAATGGGAGAGGGGGGTATTATGTATTTTCCAGGCATATACTTCAATTCTATAACACAATCAAGTAACTATGTTATCATCATTTGTTGTGAAAATGCTGTATAAAATAAACTAGAATTTCCATCCTCTAAACACCTTGAAACGGGCCTCTGTCTTTTTGAAAACCTCCTACTGGTTCTGACACTACCACATCAGCAAGTTTTCACAACAATGGTTCATGCCGTTTACAACCTTTCATATGAGTGTTGTAAGGGAGGGGTGCTTTGTTGGGTGGAAGCTCGTCTGCAGACTGAGTTTCAGGGAGGAGCTTAAGGTAAATAGGCGGTGCTTTGTACCAGCAAGTGTTTAGGAAGCTCCACATGGCTACCACTGGCGATTCAAGGATTTCTCAAACATGCAGGAGTGAGTCAAAGTAAAACTCTTGTGTTTTTGATGAGGGAATTGCGTTATAACATGATATAAAGCTTTAAAAATGTCGCTTTTTCATAATACCCCACCACTACCCTTTAAAATAAAAAATATTTATATTATAGCTACTAAAAAGCTGAAGTAAAACAAACAAACTAAATTCTGAGTTACAAACTGTCTGATCCAAGCTAAAGTTTTTAATAGAACCAACCGAGTTAAAGTTTTTACCATCTTATATTTGACTTGATTTGATTTTATTTTGATTTGATTTATTTAACAGGAAAAGATTATTAAAAATCAAGCCTGACTCAGCATAATTGCTGTTTTACAGCAGGTTCCTGTTCTGCGGCACATAAAACACTCAGAATTACAGCATCACAATCACATCATTATACACCATAGACACAAAGACAAACAAGCATACCAAATTTCAAAAAGGCAGCATTTGCAAAATAGGATGTCTAAATATGAGCACAAAAAAAGTGTCCAGCAGATGGCAGACAAGATTCTTCTTAAAGGGCTGCAGTTTTGAAATGGACTTTATGTTTTGAGGAATGTCATTCCATGCTTTAGTATAAACATAGAAGAAAGACCTCTGGCCATAACAGTTTTAATAGCAGTTGTTCTTTTGTAACAGATCTAGTTGAATGACCACTTCCGGAATTTGATTTGGGCAGCAATGCACAGAGAGTTCCATAATTGGCACCTTGGAAGATCTGAAAATATAAATTAATACCACTATACAAAACATAATTCTGAAAAGTCAAGGCATCAGACAATGAAAGAACTGTACAGTGATGAGACCAACCAGGAAGTTTTTTATGAATTTTGTATGTCCTGTTGTAGAGCCTAACTATGGGTTCTAAGATTTCATTTGTTATAAGAGACCAAACAGGTAAACAGTACGACATGGTTGAGAGTATAATGGCATGAAGATAGATATTTGAAACAGAAGATGTCAGATTCGATCTAATTTTTGAATAAACATATAATTTCTGTTTCAACTTAGTGGTTAAGACTTGTACATGATCACAATAAGTCAAATGAGAATCCAAAGTAATTCCAAGATATTTGTAGGTAGTGACAAAATCAAGGGGTTTGTTTAAAAAAGTGAGTTGATTTGTTATATTGAAATGTCTCCTGGGTGAGGAAAAATACACGCACACCATTATTTTTAACATTAATTAACAAAAGATTATCTTGAAGCCAACCATGAAATGTCTGAAGATCTGTTTGTAACTGACTATTAATAGATTCAATATTGAAATAAGGCAAAAAAAAAAGAACAGTATCATCAGCATACATTAAAATATTTGAATACTTCAATATTTTTGGAAGGTCATTTATGTATAATAGGAAAAGCAATGGGCCCAGTATGCTACCCTGCGGAACTCCCATGGAACTGGGCAGAGACACGGACACAGAGCTTCCATGTTTCACAACCTGACACCTATCAGTCAAATAAGAGGAAAACATTTGTATTGCAGATGATGAAAGTTGAAAAGAAATCAACTTTTGTAAAAGAGTAATGATCAACTGTGTCAAACGCTTTACGAAAATCAATATATACAGCACCAGTTACTTGACCTTTGTTCAAAGCCGCACGTATTTGTTCAGTGAATAAAATTAACGCAGACATGGTTGATGTTGACGTGTGGAAACCATGTTGGCTATTGCTTAGCATATTATTAGCTTCTAGATGCTGAAGTAGTTTATTAAATAATGTTTTTTCAAGTAACTTAGAAAAAATAGGAAGAACAGAAATTGGCCGATAGTTTGAAACTTCTGTTGGATCACCAGATTTAAAAATGGGAGTAATCTGAGCAAACTTCCAGGCATCAGGTAAAATAGACTGCACAATACATAAATTAAGCATTGCATCAGATTCCATTTGGTCAACATTTGTCTTAAAATAGCTGACTGTGAAGAATGAAAGTGCTTCTCTGTGAAACACTGAGTCAAACTTCATAACCCAGCTATTAATGTATTTAACCTAACCCATAAATCTTTAGTGTGTAAAACCAGTACAACAATAGAAAAGTGTTAATAGCTAAGATAACTATTCCTTCAAACCATTGTTTCATTGGCTTTGCTTACCTCTAAATTAAAGATATAGCATAAGACTGTCACGGAAAGAATAAACCAAACATTTTCTCATCAGCTTGGCTCTAAGTTTGTTTCTCTCTCTCCCTCTCTCGGCAGCTAAAAAGCTCCACCCCTGTTGGTGGTCAGAGCAGGAAGCCATGGCATCAAGGGAGCATCCAAACACTGGTGACTGCGCCACTGACCATCTAAACTCAAGAATGGAGGGTGGTTCTGTTCCCAGCACCGTTAAACCCTGTCCCGTCCACCCTCCAGGGGGGGAGGATTCAACCAAAGGTTTTCGAAAAGGCATAAACCGGCATAATGACTATGTAAAGATCCCTGTGCCTGAGTCCCAAGTGAACCCTCTGCCTTCGGAGTGGTGGAAGACAGTCATTGCTTTCTTTTACGCAGCTTTTAACCTGGTCTTGACAACAGTCGTCATCACTATTGTGCACGAGAGAGTCCCTCCCAAAGAGAACTACCCGCCTCTTCCTGATAAGTTTTTTGACTACATCGACAGGGTCAAGTGGGCATTTACTGTAACCGAGATTAATGGCATAGTGTTGCTGACCATTTGGCTGATCCAGTTGTTGTTCTTTAAACACAGGTGAGAACCATCTGCTCTGTTACTCACAATACATCCGTGTCTTCATTTTTGATGTCTCATCATATCTCAATTTATATTTTTATGTAAATGTTAACTCATTAATTACAGCTTAAAACTAGGTTGGAGGCAATGTTAAAGCAATGGTTAACATCTTTTAAAATAGGATTCTGTGAAAAGGTTATAAACTTAAATGTTTTCATAGAAAAATCAGAAATGAGTTAAATGTGAGCCTAATTAAAAGGGGAATGGCCACCAGAGTTAACATAGCCCGTAAAGAACTCGGAAAGTGGAACATTGTTTATAATATCTCCTTTTATTTATAGCTCTCGTGTAATGTGAAACTGATGATGGTATGAAGGGTTATAAAATGTTTACATGAACAAAAATGACATTTCTGAGATGTCCGTCATTCTCTTTGGTTTTGGCTTTATTTTGATGAGCCATTAGCTCACTATTTCAGTCAATGAAATTAATTTTCTTCAGCTTCTGTTACATAAAACGCTATGTACAACAGGTAATATAATAAGTGTTCAAAACCTTCCCACAAAACCCAGCTTTCACAGATTCTTTCAGTGGTGACTGTTTATTCATGTTCACAGGTCAATAGCAATAAGACGGTTCTTCTTCCTCATCGGCACCCTCTACTTGTATCGCTGTGTGACGATGTACGTCACCACCTTGCCTGTGCCGGGCATGCACATGAACTGTGCTCCTAAGGTGAGTAGCAAATAAAAAATCAGAGACAACTCTGTGGACTGTGTGGGAAGCAGCTTTTAGGAAAACCGTTGTTCAGCTTTCACTGCTCTCGGTGGACCATCAGCACTGAGAAGCCTCAGAGCGAGAGCAAAACATTTGCCTCTTGCAGTGGCTTGCTGGGTTGATGTAGAATGCAAAAATGCTGTAGAAGTCTTTGGTTTCTGGTAAATTTCTTTCTCACAATATCAAGAATTTACCAAGCAGATAGAGCTGCATGTTACTTATCTCAGCAGTCAATTGTTCTGATAAGCAGCACACATGTCAAGTTGTATGGATTGTTCGTAATTTACATAGATTTTCCCTCATTTTGCAGGTACACAGACATATAGAGCAATCTCGCGGATTTTTTCAAGTGTTATGGATTTTTTCAGAAACATGATTTCAAATTTACTTAAAGGCACAGTGTGTAGGATTTGTTGTTTTCAGCGACATCTAGTGGTTGAGTGGTTAAATCATCCTCCTTGGTCCTCCCCCCACCCCCCACTTCCAAACGTAAAGGAGTTGCTACGGTGTCTCTCAGGTGTCAAAAACCTTTGATAATTCCATCCGCGATGTCTACCAGCAGCTTCAGGGCTAGTGATGTTTCAAGTGGTAAGATTATGAGCTTTAATAAGTAAAATTATCCCAGCTACAATGACAGACAACATATATTACATTTGTAGTATTACAACTAAAACCGTTTTTGACGCCGCCACCGCAGTTTGTCCTTCATGAGCCTTTGTAGACAAGATGGCGGTGCAAGACGGCGGCTGCCTGTGTGGCGACCCGCGACCATGGAGATATAAACAGCTTTTTATAAGGTAAAAATAATAAAACAAGGTCTTTTTCTGCAATGATTAGACATGTTTTTTATTATTGTCATTAGTGATTATCTCAATTTCGGCTAAAAGAATTGACAAAATCCTACACACTGTGCCTTTAACATGTCAGAGCCTGAATCGATTCAGAGCCTTGACTGATCTGTTGACCATCTATGGTCACGAGCTTTGGGTGGTGACCAAAAGAACGAGATGGAGGAGACAAGCGGCCAAAATGAGTTTCCTCTGCAGGGTGTCTGGGCTCTACCTTAGAGACAGAGTGAGAGGCTAGGTCATCTGGTAGGGACTCAGAGTAGAGCCGCTGCTCCTCCACGTCGAGAGGAGCCAGTTGAGGTGGCTCGGGCATCTGGTTAGGATGCCTCCTGGACGCCTCCCTGGTGAGGTGTTCTGGGCATGTCCCACTGGGAGGAGGCCCAGAGGAAGACCCAGGACACGCTGGAGGGACTATGTTTCTCAGCTGGTCTAGTAATGCCTTGGTATTCCAGAGGAGCTGGCCCAAGTGGCTGTCGAGAGGGAAGTCTGGGTCTCTCTGTTTAGGCTGCTGCCCCCCGCGACCCGACCCTGGATAAGCAGAAGAAAGCGTACAGTCAGAGCCTGTAGGATGTTTAAAAAATAAAATAAGTAAACAACATCAAATAATCATCTTCCGACCTGCTACTATAAATAAGCAGGTGTCGTCATTTCTGCAACCAACAGTCCGCACACATACGCGCGTGTGTGAATACGGGGTTTCTTGCAAAAATTATGGATTTTTGAGGCTCATTATATAGGTAAAAGGCCAAAGGGGTTGACATGTATGAAGCAGTTCTTTTAAAAATAAAAGAGGCGTGCATGATTAACAGGTGTGCAGTTGAATTGGGTTTCAAAAAAACAAAAACAATATGTTTATTTGCAACCTTAAAATGATCAGATCAATGTATATGTTTAAGTAAATTTCTGTGTAAAAGGCATCCCCTTTAAATAAAACACACACACACACACATGTACTTTAATGTTTTCACATTTCTTGTGCTAAATTATGATGTGGAATGCAGGTTTTGTTTGTTTCTTGTGTGATCTTGGAACAAAACACAAACTTTGCATGCATGATCACGACGCATTAACATGTGACATACGTGAACCATGTTTCTTGTGATTTTTAAGCATTTTTTAAAACGTAAAACCTTGGTCGATTTTAACTAGACAGTGCTCAAATTACGCTACCAAGTTGCTACATTATTTCTCCATAGTGAGATTGTTAAAATAACTATCTACACCAGGTAAGATAATGTTTGCTCACAGCCTTTCTGCAGAACCCTACATCTACAAGATCTGAACGCTGTCTTTAGTCTGACAACAAATCCAGCACTGATCTCTTTTTTACTCCCTTCCTGTTCTCTCTCAGCTTCAGGGAGACACCCAGGCCAAACTCCAGCGGGTTTTACGGCTTATTTCAGGGGCAGGCCTCTCAATGACAAACTCCCACCTGTTGTGTGGAGACTTCCTCTACAGTGGCCACACAGTGATGCTCACCCTTACTTACCTGTTCATCAAAGAGTGTAAGTACTAAAAAGACTGCCTTTGACAGTTGAACTTCTTTTTTTTGCATAAATCCATCTGTTCTGTCGTATTTGTTTTCAGTGTAAACAGATTGATTTTACTATGAAAACTGACAGCACTCCTGTTCTTCATTCCCCTAAGACTCCCCTCGGTCGTTCTGGTGGTATCATCTCATGTGCTGGCTGCTGAGTGCTGTTGGTGTGGTCTGCATCCTGGTGGCACACGAACACTACACTGTGGATGTGGTTGTGGCCTATTTCATCACCTCCCGTCTGTTCTGGTGGTACCACACCATGGCCAACTTACAGGTCAGGGCACAGAGCATCAGATATAGCTAACTTTGGATGTGTCTCTGTCAAAGTGTGTCTGTGTAAAATAATTTTCGTTTAACAATTTTCAACATTTTATAATCAATTGTCTTAGTTAAAATAGTAGTCCTTAGTTTTTCTCTATTAAAATGTTGTTTTTGCCTCCTTCTAGTGAGCATAATGTATGCAGACAGGTTGTATAAACAGGTTATATGGACGCGAATTGACAAATAAAATAAACATATTTTTGTTTCATAAAGAACAAAGACAATTACACCTAGTCTACCCAGTAATTAAACAAGTGACCAATTAGTTTCGGTCTGCAACAAAATCTCCAGCTCTAACTGCATTATTGTACATATTTATTGGTTGACATAAGCAGACAAAACATGTTTGAAGGTGGTTACATGAATCAAATTGAATATAAAGTGTGAAACTCATTTTTAAAACTTAATAAGATAGCGGTGAACCCACAGAACTTGGAAATGTTAGTAGTTGTGAAATAGAGTGTTTTACTCCTAATTCATTAGGACTAATTGACCAAAAACTGCTCATCAGCAAAGCAATTAAAACACAAACTACAGTTTATTAAAAGGCATGTATAAGTGTTACGTCTTTAGTGATGAAAAAGGCACTTTCAATTAAAATGACTATCAGCGTGAAGAGAGCAATAGATGAAATGATTTTCTGCTGCGTGCGTTTGGGGACAGTCTTAATCACATTTATTAAAGCGACTCTTTTATCTCGACAGACTCTGAAGTGCTCGCCCAATAACTACCTCACCAACACCTGGTGGAACCCTGTGTTTAACCTGTTTGAGAGGAACGTCCAGACCGCGGTGCAGTGCTCCTACGGTTGGCCCATTACCTGGCCCCCCGCCTGCTTGAAGAGCCCCTGCAAGAAGTACTCCATGGTGCACAGCACACGAGAGGAGTGACTGCCAGGCTGCGGCACTGTTGCTTGATAATCCAGTGGTTTTTATTTGCTGGGTAGAAACCAAAAGCATACTTAATGCATAGTAGTGTCTTAATATTTCTGTCTTTTTTTGCCACTGTGATATATTTATGAAACAAAAGGCTGAATTGTTGCTGTTTTTTCATGAAGGGCCTGTTTATTTTTACAACACACTTCCATTTTATTGACTTGACGATGAGCTGCCACTGTAGCCTCTCCATGTTAGACATTAGAATTATTATTTTTTTACCTCAATACATCTGTGTACTTTAAGCCATAAAGTGCCTTAGTGTGTTAAACATCTGAAGATGTACCAAAGATGCCATTATCAGTGTTTGTGTTTTTATGAGCTTTAATTTGATTGTGTACTCATTTTAGAAATCATGAGAAAAAATTTCAAGCTTTTGTTTTGGCATTGTGGCATCGTATTAAAGCGAAGTCAAGCTTCAAATGTGCCGCTTCTGTTTCATTATGCAACAATAAATCAAACCTAATTGTTTTATTTTCTAAATAATAATAAAATAATTTACTCAGTTGTACATTTGTTGGCTTTTTGTAGACACTGCTCAACACTCGGAAAAGTTTGACCAGTGTCTACTTCAAAAGATTATGGCAACAAAGTGACAATTAATATCATTGAATAGATTTTAAGAACTTCATCTTTAAGTAAAAAGTATTGCTTAGATTATGTACATTTTGATTAAACTATCAAATACAAAATAATTAAATAATTGATTAAAATATTTCAAATTTACCAATAATATTACAAATGTTGAGTAAATCCAAATTAATTCTATGGCAAAACCTGATGACTATCTACTAAATATATGAAATACAATATTGAGA